AAATGAATGAGAAGACATGTGGACATAACACAACATCTAAGTCAAGTAATTTTAGCATGTGAAAGTCAAATTTATGCATATAAAATATATTTTCCCAACAAGAAAAGTGTGGCTAGTGAAAATGGCGAGTGGCTAGTAATGTTGGAAATCTACTAGCCACAGTGGCTGGTGATCAAAAAAGTTAATGTCAAGCCCTGGATGTGACAGATGTGAAATTGGCCATAGTGTGACTTTGGTGAGTCAAATATAATAGTTTAAAAACACTCAGAGACATTTTCTTAGTATTTTTACAGTACCCTAATATACAAGTCTACACACAAAAACTAGAAAGGGTTACACTACTTTAATGAAAAGTACATTATTTTTTTCATACCAAGATCGACATTTGCTATAGTAGAGTTTTACACTAGGTATATAAATAAAATATTTATTGCATTTATCAATATTATTGTGTGGCTTTGTTATAAAATAAATCACACGCACGTTAAGGCATCTCTAATACCAATACACTTCTAGATGCCCATTGTTGCACATTTCTGCTGTGTGATTGGCTCTTAGATCAATATAGAGTACAACAGCCCAGAGCTAATCATTGTTATTGACATAAATTTTATAATTTATTGGCCCAGCCCTACTAATAACATTCAAAAATATCTACCGTAGTTGTTTTATACCGGTAATCATGAAAACACTAGTGCAAAGTAAAAAAAATGCAGGGTTCCACACACTTCCTTCATGTTGACCCAACATAAATCAATTAAATCTTTGTAATATTAGTAGATTGAACATAAAACAATTAGGTTGTCCAAAAAAAAGCTTAAGAATTGTGCTGTTTCAGCTCATTATTGATAAGTAGTTTGAACAAGCAGCAAAAAAAATGCATTTGAGTGTGTATAGATCTGCTTGAAGTCACACAGAAAGAGCACAGTCTTTCTGGTCAAGCTTGTTGACCAAGGAAGTCATGCTTAAGGACATTAAGAAAGATCAAGGAAGTTAAGAAGCCTGCTGGGGTGGACAGCAGAATCAGATTACCAGCACTTAAAACACCCTTTATGTAAAACAAACTAAAATACCTCTTCATGCAATCATCCTAATTTTCAACGACACCAAAGATGTCATAATTAGCAAATAATGTCTTGCTGAGACTGTGGGACCATCATCAGTATTTTGGTCACACTTATCTGTGATCTCAGACTGAGAACTGAGGTAAAGTTGGTTTGTATTGTCGCACATTCGTTCAGTGACAACTTGCGACACACTCCCTATATCATGCTTTGAATATTCTGTCAGAAATCACATGCAAGTATGACTTGAAAACAACATTAGCACTATTTATTTGACTCTAAACAATGTAATTTGACAGTCATTGGCTGCTAATATGATTTATGATGATTTTTCTGAAATTATATTAAGGAGAAAGTTTGAATGTGTGAATATAAAACCAACTTTACCTCAATAGACTGAGAAGCCTCATGTTGGCCCCAAATTTTACTAAACATAGCATGGATGAAGGTATCTTTTCATAGCACACATATATGTGATACTAAATCACAAAATTTGTATTAAGTTGCACGTATACATTTGTAGAAATTAGTAATAAATACATTATATGGGTCAAAATTATTATTTTATGCCAAAATATCTAAGTAAAGATCATGTTTCGTAAAGATATTTTGTAAATGTTCAAAATTTTCTAACTTTTGATTAGTAATATGCATTGGCAAGTAGGGTTGTAACGGTATGAATTTTTTACGGTATGATAATCGTCTAAAACAATACCACGGTTTGACGGTTTCGCGGTATACGGTATGTTACAAAATAATAGAACAGTGAAGCAAATTTGACTTTTTCCAAATAATATATTTTTAGTTACTATAAACAACACAACTTACAATGAACAAATAAAAAAATAAGAAAAAAAAAATAATGTGTCAAAGTCCAAATAAAGTCCAAATAAACATGGTGCAAATCCTCAGTAAAAAAATAGATATAAATATTTACTATACTATAAATAGTTACATAACGAAACTAGATTCAATATGGAACATCCTTAGGTTTTATGTGCCAGCATGGATATGGTTGTCTGTGGATATGGATTTGGATGTGGTTGTATGCAATGCAGACAAACAGCTGCACCTTCATTTGCGTCTTTTGAAAACAGCAAGAGCAGCAGTTCGTCTTTGCTGTGTCACTGTTTTGTCATGTTTCTGTGCTGCTGTGCATGCAAAAGTACTTAGTATGAGAATTATTTCATGCAAAACTTTTTTTTTGGTTTTATTTAGCCGCGCATAAATGTATGCCTATCTCTCATTCCGTGTTGTTCAAAAAGCTCAGTGTTGGTCCACAAACAAAAGCGAAACCTATGCTTATTGGTTGTGATATAGCGAGTTTGAACCAATCTGGGCATGGAGGAGGGACAATGCATCAATGTATCATGTCTGGTTTGTCCGGAGACACAGTGACGAGCGTTTCTTTGTCAAATCAGCGTTGTCAAATTTTGATGACGTAACCGCACTGATTCCGGAGCCTCTGAAAGTCCGCGAATGTTATGTGATACAGCACAATTCTCTTCTTTATGCCAATCTTTGAATTGTATGAATCAGATCAGCGGATCAAAAGTTATTAAACATTTAAGAGCAATACTTATTTATAGCCGCGGGCGGCTGTCTCGGTCTTTAAGGGTTAAAACCGTTGATATGCAATTGTTCATGGTATGATAATCGTGCACGTTCAAATCGTGGTAGACCGTCATATTGTTACAACCCCATTGGCAAGCACCTAAAAGTTGGTTTTACATTCACACATTTGGACTTTCTTCTTAATAATATAATTTCAGTATGTATTCTTTGCAAATTCTAAATAGTGAAATCTTATTAGCAGCCAATGACTATCAAACATTGCACAGTCAAATAGTGATAACGTTGTTTTCAAGTTATATTTGCATGTGATTTCAGACCGAATATTCAAAGTACCATGGTAAACAATATAGGGAGACTGTCACAAGTTGTCACAGAATGAATGTGCGAAATAACCAACTTCACCTCAATATACTTTGTTGAAATTTAATGGTCATTTTTTCTGTATTTTGATTTATTTTAAACCTCAGATGTCAGAGGTTTCAATAGTTGTATCTCAGCCATAGTGTAGATCAGAAGACCAAATGGATACATACAGCTTTCAGGTGATGTTTGTATACATCAAATATCCATTGGCAAATTAAGATGACTGGTTTTGTGGTTTAGGGTCACATATTTCTATCCTAGTGATGTTTCAAATGGGATTTGGAGAGTAAACACAACAAATGTCGAAGCAAAGTGATAAATGAGTGATTTCAGAGGCTATCATGTCCTGCAAATCTGCATACTACGCAAATACTCCAACAGTAAAAAGCAATGTGTAGTATACGGCTGCAAATAAAGAGATGTTCACAACAAGCAAAAAAGCCATTAAACGTTAAGTTTGTTCAATTTTAAAGGTGACAGCTGTATTTCAGCCAAATATTCCAAAATATTCATCAGAAATACAAATATATTTATACAGCTTTCAGGTGATGTGTGTATCTCTCGATTTCCAAAAAATGGACACTTGATGACTGTTTTTTTGCGGTTCAGGGTCACATATCTCTATTCTAGTGATGTTTCAAAGGGGATTTGGAGAGTAATAAATGAGTGATTTCAGAGGCTATCATGTCCTGCAAATCTGCATACTACTGAAATACTACAACAATAAAACGCAATGTGTAGTGTACGACTGTAAATAAAGAGATGTACACAACAAGCAAGAAAGCTGTTAAACATTACTGTAAACTCAAAAAGACAAAAACAAATCTGACCTGATGTGTAGTACACATTTTAAAGCAGTAAATAAACAGAACGAATGTGCGAAATATAAAACCAACTTTGCCTCAATCTAGTTTGTTCAAACTTGAAGGTGAAAGCTGCATCTCAGCCAAATATTCCAAAATATTCATCAGAAATACAAATATATTTATACAGTTTTCAGGTGATGCTTGTGTACATTTGATGACACTTGATGGCTAGTTTTTGCAGTTCAGGGTCACATATCTCTATTCTAGTAATGTTTCAAAGGGGATTTGGAGAGTAAAACACTAAAAATCTCAAAGCAAAGTGATAAATGAGTGATTTCAGAGGCTATAATGTCCTACAAATCTGCATACTACTGAAATACTCCAATAGTAAAACGCAATATTTAGTATACGGCTGCAAATAAAGAGAAAAAGCCATTAAAATAAAAGAAAGCCATTAAACATTAAGTAAACTGAGAATAAACTCAGAAAGACAAAAACAAATCTGACCTAATGTGTAGTACACATAATAAAGCTGTAAATAAACAGAACGAATGTGCGAAATATAAAACCAACATTACCACAATCTAGTTTGTTCAACTTTAAAGGTGATATCTCAACTAAATATTCCAAAATATTCATCAGAAAAACAAATATATTTATACAGCTTTCAGGTGATGTGTGTGTACATATCTCTCAATTTCTTTAAAAAAATTTATATTTAATGACTGGTTTTGAGGTTTAGGATCACATATCTCCATTCTAATGATGTTTCAAAGGAAATTTGGACAGTAAAAGTGTAAAACACTAAAAAATATCAAAACAAAGTGATAAATTAGTGATTTCAGAGGCTATCATGTCCTGCAAATCTGCATACTACTGAAATACACCAATAGTAAAACGCAATGTGGTGCACGACTGTAAATAAAGAGATGTTCACAACAAACAACATACAAGAAAGCCATTACTGTAAAGTCAGAATAAACTCATCAAGACAAAAACACAGCTGATCTGATGTGTAGTACACATAATAAATCAGTAAATAAATTGTGTGCTGCTCAATAAGGAGAGTCTGTTGGGCTAAACCGGAGTAACGTAGCGCTCGTGCTAGTCTTTCATTACACACACAAACCCTATGGACGTTTATGAGAAAACGGCTTTCCGGAAGGGAGAATTGAGTTAAAATGGTACTCACAGAAAATATGTCTACATCCGTGGCCGCCATGATGAGGAATGTATGTGTTTTTATAAGGCGAAAGGGAGCTGCCTTCGTTTCACTCACCGTCCACACATACACACACTCGCTCACTGTGGCTGGAGAATTTACGAACGTTACTATGGCGAAGGCCTTATTTATTAATATTAACGACGCAGCATGGAAATCTGCGCCTGATTGGCCGTAAGGCAGAACGTTTCTTAATCATGAATATTAATTAGGCAACCTGATTGGTTCAGCTTGACTCGTCAGGATTAATTTTCATAATATGTCGTTCGTCGTACTAGGATTCATAATTGCGTGGACGCTCTGAATATGGTTTCTTCCTGGAAACTCCCACTGGGTTTAAGGAATGTTTTTCTTTCAAGACGTAAAAATCTTGTTAATAAAGAAAAACATGTAAGTTCAAATAATAATTATTTGATTTAATGATAGTGATTTGATTTAATGAGGCAAACATACGTGTAAATGGTTTGTACACGCATTGTGTTTTATTGTCATTCATATAATTATGTTGAGTGAGTCTTATTTTGTATATAATTAGTAAACTAATATTTTTTCCTCACGAATGATTCTAAAATGGAGTAAATATTCCACATATTAGCTCCGCCCACACCCACGTCTGAGTTTGTTTGTTATGTAAATGAGAACAGATTCCGGAAAACAGGTGAGGGCGTGTCTGCAGTCCAGGTGTCGTCGAGAAAATCCGAGAGAGACGTCGTGTCAAGGTATGTTTACATCTGGGACGCATTAAGAAATGGCTTTGACACAAGAGGCGATTTTAAACACCTTGTTAGAAAATGGAGGCAAGCTGAAAAACACTGAGCTCCTGAGCAATTTTAAAGAGACACTGAACTGCAGTGATCCAGCAGAAAAGAAGCAGAATCGAGATCTCTTCAAGGCGTTTGTCAACAACATCGCTGTCGTGAAAGAAATCGAGAACACCAAGTATATAGTCCTCAGGAAAGTCTACAGTCATATACTAAAAGCTAGAGATGATGAGAACTCACCAAGAGAAGAAGGAGGATTGCTTCTTGAGGAAGAAGAAACTACTCAAAATGCTGAGTTAGCATCGAGCAGATCTTCACCAAAGGCTTTAGACACCACCACACCACGTTCTCCCATTGAAAATGCTCTGGAAAGATCAAGGAGTGTGGACTTTAAACCGAAGCAATTCACCATACCGCTGAAGTCTGACCCTGAGGCACCTAAGCAAAGCAAACCCTTCGCTCTTCCTTTACGAATGCCTCAAATAGAGATCTCACATAACAAGAAGCCATCACCGGAGCGTTTAGCAGTTCCTGACTCCATACAAGAGCTTCAACCTTCACCTCAATTCACGAGAAAGACAAATACGGGCTTGATATCCAGCTCTCCACAGGTGAGAAGACACAAACCAGCCAGTGAGTTAAGGGATCTTGATCATGGTCTACTTGACTCCACTGACCATGAGTGGCTAGTAAAAACCGCCGCCGGACATTGGAGCCAAGTGTACGGTCTCCTCCTGAGGGACGCTCAGTTAGCGGAGAAGAAAGACTTCATGTCTGGATTCACGGCTCTCCATTGGGCTGTCAAATGTGGAAACGCTGACATGGTCTGCAGGATTATTGAGCTCTCCAGGAAAGGTGGGCATGCTGTGGATGTCAATGGGAAGTCTAACGGTGGCTACACGCCACTGCACATCGCCGCCATCCACAATCAGCTCTCAATAATTGACCTTCTACTCCATAAATATGGCGCCAATAGGAACCTAAGAGACAACTATGGGAAAAAACCCTATCATTACCTGCAAAAAGGGGTTTCGGGAAAGCTGAGGGAGCTTCTCGGAGACCCCAAAGCTAATTTCAAGGAGCCACTTCAGGTCAGGGATGACTCTGACCCGCATAAACACCTGAAAGGTCGTCTTTTTCCTGCAAATCCAGTGCTGGGGATGAAGAAAAAGACCAAAGGGAGGTTTATTTCTATGGGTGAAGATGGCAGAGGTGAGAGGGACGAGCCAGTGCCACATAGACATCGATTGACATCAAATGTATTTCCTTAAATGAGCATACTTTGTAAAAATAAGATCGTTAAATCAATAATTTTTCATATTTGAGTAGGGAATTTATACATGTTACTATGGTGTATGTTAGGATTTATCAATTTTAATGAAGCAATGTGACATTCTGTGTCCTGATTGGCTGAAAGACGGAGCGATTTCTTCAATGAGGGCTTGATCATGAATATTAATTAATATGGATTATGGAGATTAATATTCATGAGATCATGGTAATTGCATGAGTGTGTTTAATATGTTTTTCTTTTTCTAAAATATATGAAATATTAATATATTAATGATAAATTAATATATTAAAAATGAATGAGCTGATTTGATTTGCATTATAAAGATTTCAGTAAATGAATAGAATTCCATAATTAGTGGAGAATTTGCAAACGTTACTATGGTGAAGGTGATTACTCATTTTTATGACGCAACATAAAATTCTGTGCTGATTGGCTGGAAGACTACGTTTTCCTCTGAAGCTTGATCATGAATATTAATTAGGATGATTATGGAGCATCCGCATTAATATTCATAAGTCGATAGTAATTTCACGAGTGTGTTCAGTATAGATTCTTCCTAAATATATTAAAAATTAATGAGCATATAATTTATATATTAAATATTAATGAGTTTAATTTATTAATCAGTAAATGAACAGTTTTTCATAATTACTGGAGAGTTTGAGAATGTTACTAAGGTGAAGGTCATGATTATTCATTTTAATGATGCAACGTAAAATTCTATGCTGATTGGCTGAATTGTTTCCTCATTAAAGGCTTGATCATGAATATTAATTTAGTGACCTGATTGGATGATTATGGAGAGTCCTCATTAATATTCATAAGATGATGCGTTCAATAAGGCTTCCTCCGGGACACTCCCACTGGGCTCCAGAAATGTTCTTTTCTCAAGACATGACCATTGTTTAAATGACAAAATATGAGACTAAATATTAATGAGTTGATTTGATTTACACTATGAAGATTTCAGTAAATAACCAGTTTTTCTATAATTAGAAAATTTGAGAATGTTACTATGGTGTAGGTCTTGATTATTAATTTTAATGAGACAATGTGACATTCTGTGTCCAGATTGGCTGTAAGACCGAGCGATTTCTTCAATGAAGGTTTGACCATGAATATTAATTAGGATGATTATGGAAATGAATATTCATAGGATGATAGTAATTGGAGTGTGTTCAATATGGCTTCTTCCAAAATAGAATAAATATGAATATATTATTGAGTATATTGATCAATTAATATATTAAATATTAATGAGTTGATTTGATTTACATTTTAAAGATTTCAGTAAATGAATAGTTTTCCACAATTAGTGGAGAAATTGCAAATGTTACTATGGTGAGGGTCTTGATTTATTAATTAATCATGATTATTCATTTTAATGATGCAACGTAAAATTCTATGCCAATTGGCTGGAAGACTGAATGTTTTCCTCATTGAAGGCTTGATCATGAATATTAATTAAGTGACCTGACTGGAATATTTTGGAGCATCTGCGTTAATATTTATAAGCCAATAGTAATTGAATGAATATGGTTAACTGATTAACTGATCTAATTGAACGCTTCTTCTCAGTGGGCTACAGGAATGTCTTTACTCAACACATGAGAAGATTTTAAATAGAAATATGAATATATATATATATATATATATATATATATATATATATATATATATATATATATATAAAGTGTGTATAATAACTGAATAAGATGTTCTGCTTTTTCCCCGTGAAACTGAATAATTATGTAATATTGTAAGTCATGGGGTATATGTTGAAATCTGTGTGTTATTTATAGGAATTTAAATCATCAAGAGAGGCCAAAATTTCCAACTGTTTATGCATCAGATGCGTAATTTGTAAATGTGTGTGATAAAAGTGTTGATGTAGATGTTAAAAACGAACATCTGCACACGTTCAGTCACCATTTCTGGACAATACAGTGTTATACACTCGCTGGCCACTTTATTAGGTACACCTTACTAGTAGGTGTTGTGTGTTCAGAGATGCTCTTCTGCAGACCTCGGTTATAACGAGTGCTTATTTGAGTTACTGTTGCCTTTCTATCTAAGCATTTGCGCCCACAGAACTGCCGCTCATTGGATTTTTCCTCTTTTTCAGGCCATTCTCTGTAAACCCTAGAGATGGCTGTGCGTGAAAATCCCAGTAGATCAGCAGTTTCTGAAATACTCAGACCAGCCCATCTGGCAGCAACAACCATGCCACGTTCAAAGCCACTTAAATCCCCTTTCTTCCCCATTCTGATGCTCAGTTTGAACTGCAGCAGATCGTCTTGATCATGTCTGCATGCCTAAATGCATTGAGCTGCTGCCATGTGATTGGCTGATTAGAAATTTGCATTAATGAGCAGTTGAACAGGTGTACCTAATAAAGTGGTCGATGAGTGTATAATGAAAATATAGAATAGCTATTAAAAATGGTGAACTGTAATAATATTTCAGTATTGTTTTACAAATAAACGCAGCCTTAACGAACACCAGTGGCTGCAGTGTATTGTGTTATGACTGAATTAAGTGTTGATGTACAGTAGATATTAAAATTAATAAATATCTGTCGTCCTTTCTGTCAAGTTTTATAATCATAAACAGCTTATTTTTTTTATTCATGCACAATACATGTATATGTCAAATCCGCTGTTTCTTGTCACAATAAACACATTGATAAATGAATTACTCTTGATCTTGTGCTTGTACTGAATTGCACTGTGTGTGTGTGTGTGTGTGTGTGTGTGTGTGTGTGTGTGTGTGTGTGTGTGTGTGTGTGTGTGAGGCTGTTTGAAGAAGAACTGAATGTGTGTGTGTGTGTGTGTGGTCATGTGAGCTGTGCAGATGTGGTTAGTCTTGTGTTTGTAGGCTCACACAGAATCTGTGCTCGCTGAGAACTCAGCAGATTTACACAAATTGTTGACCCTGTCATTTTTATAAGTGTTGGTTATATTCATTCATTCATTTTCCTTCGGCGTAGTCCCTTTATTCATAAGGGGTCACCACATT